TGTTTATTCTTGAACAACAAAAATTTTACGAAAGTAGATATATTAAATTTGTAGAGACTAAGGTCTATAAAGACGTAAACTGTAATCTTTTCGAAATTGACCAGGAGCTTATAGAGAAGCAATCAATTCATCTCATGGAGATAAATGGCGTGAAGCAATTCAAAATGAACTTTCAGCGATTAAAAATAAACAAGTTTTTAGCGTCGTTGAAAAAAGAAAAATTTACAGTTAAAGCAATAAACCGAATGTTATTAGTTCTCGATGGATTTTTAAAAAGAAACTCGATGAATCAGGTAATGAGAAATTCAAGGCTAGACTGGTCCCTACTGAAAATCCCTGTACAAGATCTTGTACAATTTCCTGTACAGGATCAGCAACTGAACTTGTACAAGTTCTGACCAGTTCCTGTACAGGAAAATGCATACGAATTTGGAACAAGTTCATGTGTGAGATCTTGTACAAGAAAGATGCTTGTACAAGAAAATGTTCATGTACAATTTCATGTATAAGTATTTGTACATGAACACGTCCATGTTCTTGCACAAGTTAATTCATGTTTTTCTTTACTAAAAATTAAAAACTTCAAAGGCTGCGCAATAGTTTACTTTAACCTTTACAGCTGCGCAATATTTTTTAGCATGCATGAGTTACGAATCTTAGTGGTTAAATATTATCAAAATCTCAAATTTTATTAAAAAAAAAAATTTTACAACTACACATGTGCAAGAACATGAACGTGTTCATGTACAAGTACTTATACATGAAATTATACAAGATCATGTACATTTTTTTGTACAAGTATCTTTCTTGTACAAGATCTTGCACCAGATCTTGTACAAGATCTCACACATGAACTTGTTCCAAATTCGTATGCATTTTCCTGTACAGGAACTGGTACGAACTTGTACAAGTTCAGTTGCTGATCCTGTACAGGAAATTGTTCAAGATCTTGTACAGGGATTTTCAGTAGGGGTTATTCGAGGTTTCCAAGATAGAAACGAATACGACTTAAGGGAAACTTACGCGCCGGTTTCGAGGTTATAGTTAGTAAGAGCATTTATCGCAATAGCAGACAAGTACGATTTAAAATTAAAACAACTGGACGTAGAGACACCTTTTCTTTATAGAAAATTGGAAGAAATTTATATGGGAATCTTAGAGGGAGTAACTGTCGATTCGGAAACGAGAAAAGATTTCGTTTGGAAATTAGAAAGGTCCTTATACGGTTTAAAAATAAGCTCGAAAAAATGGAATAACAGGTTTTCTGAAATCATGTTTGCTTTGGGATTTTATTCAAATGATTTCGATCCGTGTTTATTTGTCAAAAGAGTTGGAAATGATTTTATATTCGTGCTAATGTACGTAGATGATCTTTTGTTGTCGAGCAATAGTATCAAAATGTTAAATGATTTCACGGAAACGTTAAGTAAAGAGTTTGCAATCAAAGATTTAGGTAAACCGAATGAGTATTTAAGTATCAAAATTGAAAGAGATGTCGAAAATCGCACCATCAAATTAAGTCAATCAAAGTTCATTGATAAAATGTTGAAAAAGTTCGGTTTCGAGAAAACTAATCCAGTAGTTACACCTATACAAACAAATCAGGCAACAAAAAATAGCCGGAAAAATAGAAAAGAAGAAGTGTACACTCGAAAATTTCAACCTAACAGTTTGTATAGAGAAGCAGTAGGATCTCTACTGTATTTGGAAAATGCAACTCGCCCTGCCATTTCGTATAGTACAAACGTATTAAGTCGACATCAGGTAACTCCCACAGAATGGGACTGGCTCAAGGTGAAGCGAGTTTTTTAGTATCTTTCAGATACTGGGTGTTTTCGACGTCGTCGGTCGTACCGGACAGTTGCCACAAAAAGGTGCTCAACCATTTTTTTACAAAAGATCCCCAATTGCATGGTGAGTGAGGCTTTACGTTTGTCCTAACCTTCTGTTTTTTTTCATCTTAACATGTCGTAACAAAATTATTGCTCTGTTTAAATATTATTGTTCTCTTAATTATTAAGAAGAAGAATCTTAAGAAGATGAATCAAGAGAAGTTCGTTTTTCAATCCGTTTGTGCATATCACGGAAAATGGGTTGAGTATAATTATACGTAAAATAAGACATACGAATTTGAAACAAGAATTATACGTATAATTATACGAATAATTATAAAATATAGACACGTATAATAATACGTATAATTATACGTATAATTATAATTCTATTAAAAATAGAATAATAGAATAGAATAATAATAGAATAATTAGTAGCAAAATTACGCTGAAAATTTTTAGAAATTTTAAAATGCAAATTAAATTTCACGAAAAAAATATCGTCGAATGTCAATTCAAGCAGTCACCCATCCAAGTACTAACTGCGTCCAACGTTGCTTAACTTCCGTGATCTGATGAGAACTTGTTCCTTCGCCTTGGTGTTTCCGCTGTCTTGTCTTGATTAATAACTTTGTCTTATAAGTATTGTATCGCACCTAACCTCACTTTTAGTGACACGAAGTAACACAAATACACTTCAACTTTACAAAAAAAAGAAAAAACAAAAATAGTGTTCATTTGAAACCGATTCTCAATAATTTAAATAATTATATGCTTGGATAAGAGATGTACATGACATGATATATTTCTTTGAGGGGGGGGGGGGGTTTCATAGACAAGCTGACATGTGCTCAGGAGAGTACTGTATGTTTTAAGCGCCCCTAAAATAATAAAGTGTATTTGTGTTACTTCGTGTCACTAAAAGTGAGGTTAGGTGTGATACAATACTTATACGACAAAGTTATTAATCAAGACAACCCTTCTAGAAAAAATCGATTGAAAACGATTGAAAACAATAGGAAAGAAATTTCTATTGTCCCCAATCGTGTTTCTTAATCGTGTTCTTACAATTGAGAACGATTGATTTTCTTATTATATTTAATTGTTTTCAATCGTGTTCTATAGATTGTATTGCATTAACTATTGTTTGGCGGGAGCTTTTGAAAATTTTAAAAAGTGCAACTAATTAAACAGTCTAGAAAAATATCATTGTTTCAAAGATTATTTTCCGAACTAAAAAATTAAAATATTTATCAATGTATTTGTCACCAAAGAAGAAAATCAAATATTTGAGCAAAAATTAATTAAAATTTATTTTTTTATTTATCTTTGAATGAAACTGCACAAGACGAAATGTTTATAATTTATCCAAAAAATGTTTAAAAAATAATTTTTGTCTAATACAGCAAGTATTGTTTTAAATTGAAATATTTATTAAATTGATGAATTTTTTTAAATTTCAGTAAATATTGATTTTTCTTTTAAATAATCGAATATTGGAATATCTACAATAATTATAAGATTCTTTTTAAGAGCATTTGAACCTTCGTGACGTCACAAATCATGGCGCATGACACGCAAACTTCTCAGGTATGTGAAAAGCACAATTTTGAATATTTTTTAAAAAAACCTTTTGGAAAATGTTCAGAATAACATAGACTCTGTCTGTTCTGTGCGGAAAATTCAAAATTTTGCGTTTAAAACGTTGTTTAAACAATGTTTAAGTCACAAATCATGGCGCATGACACGCTGTAGGCCATTTTTGGAACTTAAACATTGTTTAAACAACGTTTTAAACGCAAAATTTTGAATTTTCCGCACATAACAGACAGAGTCTATGTTATTCTGAACATTTTCCAAAAGGTTTTTTTAAAAAATATTCAAAATTGTGCTTTTCACATACCTGAGAAGTTTGCGTGTCATGCGCCATGATTTGTGACGTCACGAAGGTTCAAATGCTCTTAAGAATTTTTAAAGAATTTGATTAAATTTTTCGAAAATATTTAATTGAAAAATTATGGTGTTTTTCGCAAGGGTTCAGGTGAACATCGAACAAAATTTATATTGAAAAATTTTTTCTTAAATTTCTTTGAAAATTTGCTGGATACCTAAAATTTAGAAAAACTAAAAATTTTGTTCTAAAAAAATGAAAAATTGAAATTATTTTAAAATGTAAGAGATATAATTTTTTCTTGTATTTATTTTTATGTTCCTAATTATTTATTTAATTTCTGTTTATATTTATTTCTATATTTTTGAGGTTATGTATTATCAACTCAAAGGTTGTCATACTTGATTTGTTCATATATAGGATAAGTAAACATATTGACATTATCCACATCACTAAAAATTTTACTTTATATTTTATACATTTGACACATACACACTAACAGAACAAACTATATATTACAAAACACTTAGAAGAAAAAAAATCTTTCCTGTTTGATTCAACACTATTCTTATTCCTATTATTAACATTTGCGCATGTGCGTATATCATTCTCCCTATAGCACCCGATTAAAAACAATTGAAAAAGTCTAACTTATTTTACACGATTGAAAACAATTCGAATCAATTGAAAAAATATATTCTCCAATTGGAAACAATTCAAAACAATTAAAAAATTTTTATACTCAATCGTTCTGAATCGTGTTCAATTGATTTTTTCTAGAAGGGAAGACAGCGGAAACACCAAGGCGAAGGAACAAGTTCTTATCAGATCACGGAAGTTAAGCAACGTTGGACGCGGTTAGTACTTGGATGGGTGACTGCTTGAATTGACATTCGACGATATTTTTTTTCGTGAAATTTAATTTGCATTTTAAAATTTCTAAAAATTTTCAGCGCAATTTTGCTACTAATTATTCTTGAAACTTCTCGACAATTTTGCTTAGCATGTTTGCAGAAAGTTTTTGCTGCAAACTTGCCAAGGGAGGACATTTCAATATTTGCCACAAGTTTGCTGCAAACTTACCTTACAAACTTTCAAACCTTGCACTGCAAACTTGCAGCAAACTTGCTGCAAGTTTTCGTGCTATTTGGAGGTATATATTAATAAACAAAAATATATCCCTATTGAAAAAAACACGTACAATTATACGTATAATTATACGTATTATTATACGTATAATTATACGTATAATTCTTGTTTCAAATTCGTATGTCTTATTATACGTATAATTATACGTATTATTATACGTATAATTATACGTGTTTTTTTCAATAGGGTTTAGTTGAGAAGAGAAAGTTTCTTTGTCAGCTTGCAGAACGTGATACTGGTACGTCAAATTTTTTTATTTATCTTTTAAATTAAGTTAATAATTTGTGATATAAAGATATTTTATCAAAAATTAATTAATTAATCAATTAAAAGTATTATCTACAGTTTTCCGTACGTGTCAATTTGTGTATTATAAATAATGTGTATTCAGAGGTTAAATTGTTCACACCGCAGTAAATGTGAGCTAATAAAAAACATGGAAATATTTCAATTATAAGTGATACAGCAAAAAATTGATATTAAAGTAATTATTTGCTTAAAGCAGCAATGTGATATATTTCACGAAAAATCGACACATCAAAATGAACATTGTCAAATTTGCTAAAAATTTTTTTATCTTTTTGTTGTCTACAAAAAAGAGATCTATGCTTTTTTTTAAATTTTTTTATCCATCCTTTTACAGATATGATTTTGAAGAAAAAATATTTTTTGATTATTCATAACTACTATCCTTGGATGTTTTTAGAAAAGTTTATACCAAAACTTCATTGTTTAATACAAATTTTGAGCCCAGTCATGTCATGAGTAAATGGTTTCTTCAATTTTTTGGCAATTTTTGATAATTTGAGTGTTTTCTCTTACATATTTCTGATTTTACGGGGGATTGCGAAGCGCTGACTACGAAAATTATAGTTACAATCCGAGGAAACTTAATTTTTGTGATAAAAATTTTTATTTTAATTTTTATTTATTTTATTTTATTTTTTTTTAAATATTAACTGCAAATTTTACAGGTGCAGTACGTTATATGTACTTGAAAGAATCAGACATACGTACATTTCAAGCTGGAAAGGAGAAAACAACGCCACTAGAATTTGTTAATCAAAAGCAGAAAACACAAAGTATCTTAAAAGATAAATTGAATGTTGGACCAACTCCTCAAAGAAGTGTTGAAAATGCTGGTATTTATGAATTTATATACCATTTAATAAATTATAATAACATATTTAAAGGGACCTTGACGGTGACCTATATTTATTTATATTTAAACATATTCCAATTTTTATTTTGTGCTTTGAAATTTTGAACTACGGATAGTTTAAATGTGCATAATTTGTACCACATTGTAAGAGATTTAACAAAGCATCTAAACTTATTTGTCATTGTTTACAGTTCCTATTGTACAAAAATTGCAAACTGAAAAAGAGAATAACATTCAACTCCAAGATCTCACTCGTAACGAAATCGCATCGTCCACTGAATCGTCATCTCAAAACACTTCAACCGGTTCATGTGCCACTCAAGGGATCAATTCTGGAATATCTTATTGGACATATCCTCAAACTGCTGGTATGTTTTATTTGTATCAATTCTTCTTTTCTCGGATTGATCGAATTTGCCATTACTGATATTTTGAGACATTCTTTAATCTATTTTCGTGGCACTCAGTTTTTATCCAAATTCCAATTTCAGTGAATTAAATTAAATCATAGTTTTATTCTTAAGCTACATTTAAATCCTTTTAAATGTATGAAACTTAAACTGGCATAGAGTTATCAGCACCGAGTTAATTTTTAAGACAAGTTTTGTTAGAAATAATATAAAGATATTAAATTAAATAAAATTAACTGTCTGTCAATAAATGGGTCAACCGATTTAATTTTTTAAAAAAATTTATATTACAAAAAACGTAAATAGAGTTTATAAAGTTCATAAAATGAACTTGGTGCTGATAACTCTGTGCCAGTTTCATCATCATTTTGAAATGCTTTCATTCTTACGAAAAATATAAATCAGAAAATCTCGTGAGAATTAGAATTTATATTTTAAATTCATATTTGCTTACCTACAGAACATACACTGTATTTGTATCAACACATTACAGAGTTTATTTGTGATCTCATTTTTTAATTTTAATCGAAAAGCATTAAAATGAATATGGCGGAAAGTTAGGCGGTTAATGACCGGGATTTTTTAATTTTTCTGAAAGAATAGAGAAATGAACGGAAATGTTTAATTGTTAAAACATCATCACCACCACGGTCGAAAAATGGAATTACAAACTTGTTACAATTATTTTTATTTCTTACAGTTTCTAAAATGTGCACACTGCAAATGGGAAAGGAAAAGGTTGTAAAACTGACACTTTCTACTGGCAAGCCAAATGTTGAACAACGCATTTCACAAAATATGAATGCTGAGGAATCTGATTCCAAAACTGTTGAAAAAGATGGTATTTAAAATTTTTTAAATTTAAAAGCATACTTCATTAAACAATTCTTTTATTCCATTTTTGTTAAATAATATATTTTTATTTTTGAACACTTAGTGAAGATACAGGACTGCTTTCATTCATTTTGTAATAAATTGTTTTTCATCTTTTAGTGGGTTTAAACCGACAATTGCTCTAGTGCGAGTTGAACTTGTTCACCTAAAGTTTGGTTTAAGATTATTTAAATTCATAAATTTTTTTCTTAAAATTTACACTTAAAATGAAAAGTAACATGTTAAAATAAATTTTAACTCCCTACCTCTACAACTGTGAGAGTAATAGAAAAGATATTTTCCTATAAGTAATTTAATTTTTTCTATAAAAAGAAATCTGTTATTTAAGTTTTGTACCTCTTAAGTTTAAATTTGTCGATTTAAGGGAGGTTTTTTCGATTTAAAAAAATCAGAGGGTGATGGAGCAATTCTGACTTCAGATTCGTTTTCAGAGAGCTAAAATGCTATAGGATATATGTCTTGTTCGAGAAACAGACAATTTTTTTTGTGCCTGTGTAATTATTACTTAACAATAAATTTTAACTCAGAATTATTTTTTCTGTTAAAATATACTTTTTTTGGTTCCTCTGTTATTTTTAAAAAATTGAAAAAAATTTTTAAAAATTTAGTCAGGTTCAGAGAATTTTAGGAGAAATTGCTTGGAAATCATGTACCTAAATGTCGGGGAACTTCTATATTTTGTAACCGTTGCAACTCTGTTGATTCTATTTAAAAATTTTTAATTTATTTGTTTTCTGTGGTCAATGTATATATTACGGGCAATGTGTGGGAAGCGGGCAATATTCGAGAATGTTCAGGCATTGTTGACATTGCCCTGCTTTTTTCAAAAACGTTCACAAAATGTTAACAATGCCCGGGCATGCTCGGACATTGCCCGCCTACAGCATATTGCCCGTAACATATACAATTTAAAATGATTCATAAATTCTTTAAATTGCAATTTTTAATGATTGCTAATTGGACGCAGTGCCAATCGAAGTACAACAAGTTAATAACAAATTACAAGGAGCACGTAGATTCGCAAAACAGAAGTGGAGCAGGAAAAATTTTTTTTAAATATTATGATATAATAAATGAGTACATGCACAAGAAGCCTCAAATCGCACCAGTCTCAATAACTTCAAACTTAAAAGGATTCCGAGAAAAACAAAATGCAACCTCAAGCAGTGAAGATGAAAAATCAATTAAAAAAATGAAAAAGGAAAGAAAAATAAAAAAATCTCAGAAGTCAAAAACAAGTACAGAAATATCAGAATTGTGCCAAGTCATGCGAGAAAGAAACGATGTTCAAAAACAAATTGCTGCAAATATTGCAAGGTATGTTAACACTGTGGAGAAAAACTCTACCAAAGAATAAAACGCAATCAAGAGACTATGATATTTTTAAAATATCTCTAATTATCAGTATGTGATTACGAATCATCAGTATTTTCTTGTTTAAGTCTTACTCATTTACTTACTTAATTTTAAGAAATGAAGGTTGTGTTATTTCTAAATGTACTGCCAAAATGTGTTTTAAATTTGTTATGAATTCTTAATAATTTTTATTGTAAGTCAACAAAAAGGCTTATTTAATATTGAAACATGAAGATATTATTAATTCTAAAAAATTTAAATCTTGTTAATTCGAAGTTTATTGAAGAAGTGTTTTTAAAAAATTGTTACGAATCGTCAATAGTTTTTCATTCAAGTTAAAATAATACTTATTTAATTTTAAGAAATGAATTCGAAATTCATTGAAGAAATGTTTTTAAAAAACAATTACGAATCGACAGTAGTTTTTTGTTCAAGTCAAAAAAAGACTTATGTAATTTTAAGAAATGAAAGTTTTTTTAATTCAAAATTCATTTAAGAAATATTTTTAAAAAATGATTATGAATTAAGTATTTTTTCGTTTTAGTATTATTTACTTAATTTTAAGAAATGAAGGTTGTGTTAATTCTAAATATGTTAAAAAAATGTTTTGAAAATTTATAACGAATTATCAATAGTTTTAAGTTTAAGTCAACAATAAGACTGACTTAATTCTAAATGTATTGAAAAACTATTTTAAAAGTTTGTTATTAATAGGGAATTTGCATCAATTTTTTTTAAAATTTAAATCGATAGATTAGGTTAGATTTATATAACAAAATTTTTTTCCCATAATTTTTTAGTGACAAATAAGCGCAAAATTAAATAAAAACAATTTACATAATTTTTAAATAACGAAAACGCTCCGGAAAGAGCCGAGTCTACACGGTCTCTGCGTGACGTCACGGGCACGAATTTACAGTAATGTTTTAATGTATGATGGTAGTAAATAGTATTAATTTATTATTATTTATAAAAATGAGCGAGAATAAAACATTCCAGTCATGTTTTGTGCCATTATGTGGAAGCACCAATGTCAAAACACCAAATAAAATATTTTTTTGTGTTCCTGTTACGAACCAAAGAAATTATTTGTTTTGAAATAATTATTATTAAAAATAATTAGAACAATACATCGGGCTTTTGAGATGGCCCAAATTTCAGAGGTTCTCGGAGGTCCAAACTGCCAAAGCCTGAAGGGCCTTGTTTTTATTTGTGGGTTCGTTTCGTTCTAATTGCTGATATTTTCTAGGATAAGATAGGAAAATATACCACGACTTCCTTTTATAACTTGTTACTATTAGAATACAGGTAACAGAAAATAAAGAGAAGAAAGAATTAAAAGAATTATTAATTTTATTTTATCATTCAAAAATAATGCTGACAAATATATTCCACTCTCTCTCTTACAAGAAAGGAGGGAGCTTCCGCTTCCTTATTCTACCGTCGACAATTTCTTCTCGACGGGCAAAAACATAAATTTTGAAAAATCGTCCTTACACAATCACTCGAGTAGCGCATTCGCGGTTTGCCGTATGTTCTCTTATTGCGCGAACAATTTTTTTAACAGGGACAGACAAATCCACTCTCTCTTACTCTAATTCGCTAAGCCGTCAATTGCAAGAGCAGACGCGGGCACTCCGCACCCGGCTGGTCTTTCGACAAAAATTTAGAAAAAGAAAATTAATTAGATTTAAAAACTCTTCACTTGAATTGACTCTTAACCGGCCTCCGTGGACTTCGGAGTAAGTTGGCGTTTTACTTTACGTCCGACCGAAATTATTCGTGTAAGCACACGAATCAAAACGGGTCCTTGGTACCGGACGGGAGCGCTTAGGCTTTTTAATCCGGGCAGTTCCAAACAGAGTTGGAACTTCGATGCTCGCGGAAACCGTACTGAACAATAATTTAGGGGCTGGAGATGCCTCTATGGGTCGGCTCAGGGCACCTGGTGGGAAATTCTGCTGATTTTGAATTTCAAAATTGCAGGTGGAAAGGGAAGGTGGGGCCTGTTGCCATGCCAGTTTTGCTGAATTTGCAATTTAATAAAATCGGTTTAGTGAAATAGTGTTGAAATAATAAAGTTATTTCGAAACAAAATTATTACCAATTATTCTTTTAAATAATTTTATATTTTATTTAATCTTTGAAATTTTAGAATTAACCCTCTCATATAAAAGGTTAATATAATTTAAGATAATGGACATTTCCAATCAGAAAGAAATTCCATCTATTTTGTAGTATTTTGAATGTTGTTGCAATTCCAGTTTTGAGATCAATTGTCTCAATATTGATCTGGAATTGATCAGTTGCATATAGATCTAAAAAGCACATTATAGTAAAGCAATGGCAGGCATAGCTTGTAGGCTTGAGAGATACAGAGGGGCAAGGTAAGATAGGCTGTGAGTAAGGAAACATAGGTGTATTGGTGCCATAGCGTACAGCATAGACGTCTCCAGCCATACTAATGTGTATTATGGTCGTAATACATAACGAGTGCGAGAGAGCAAGCATCCACTATGCATTCGACAGCGTAAGAGTAAGAGTGACGCGTACTAGTCATTGGAGCGAGGGAGAAAACCATGCGACAGAGAGAGAGAACGCAGTACTCCGCGAGAACAGTGTGTCTGAGAGAGAACGCTTCGCCGTTACATACAGTCTTCTTTCTCTCTCACGCAATGTCGAGGGACGCGCGGGGAGCCTTCACTCAACGCGTTCAGTGAGGACTCCCACCCATGGCTGCAGAAATATTATTTTAATTTCTATTTTAAATTTAATTTTTAATAATTTAAAATTTAGCAATTCTTTTGCAACAATAATATAAATATTTTGCGATATATTTAGGATAATATAATAATACATTTTCATGAATAAATAATTAATGATTTTGAACAAAATTCGCACTTGTTGCGTAACATCTGATTATTAAATGTATATATCTATTCAATAGCGACTCGCAATGTTGCTGAAAGGTTTTCGGACGATATCTCGGTTGTTTACCATTCAATAAGATTTTAGCACGGTTTAATAGCTTCAGGAGGTTGTGGCAATGTTGATTATCGAAGCCGCAACATTCGCAAAATTGCGGTTCTCTAACTACGGAAGTTACAAGTTGGTAACATTGCGACAAGATCCATTTGCTTCTTAAGGGTGTCAGAGTCATGAATCTTTATTCTACAACCTTCGCAAAATTGCGGTTCGCTAGTTATTTGCGAGTTTCGTCTGCAACGTTGCTGCAAGGTTATTAGTGTACTACAATAGACGTGAGTCTTGCAACAACGTTATTGACGAAGTTACAAGGATTTTTATTTAAAATAAAAGGAACAATCAATCAATGAAGATTATAAAATTATTACTCTTCATTAATTGATATATTCTTAAAATTTCGTGTTGGCTTCAAGAGCTTGCTTCATATAAATTAAATTTTTAAAAAAAGAATAAAATTATTATTTTTCCAAGATGCGAGTTGCCTAATAAAGTCGCGTTATTTCTTTATATTGTTTCGCTGACGTCCCGAAATTCCTGACGGTAATATGATATTAGAGTTGCTACAATCTAACTTGAAGCAAGTCTAAGAATAAAGAAAAATAATTT